TGTGTGTGTGTGTGTGTGTGTGTGCACGCGCGCGCGTGCGCGCGTGTGTGTGTGTGCGTGTGTATGTGCGCGCGTGCGTGCGTGCGTGCGTGCGTGCGTGTGCATGGTAAATATACGTACCCGTATACTCTCTGCCACCGCCTCGGCTTGAAGAATCGTCTGGTTTCTGTAAAATCAGAAACCCAGGTTACGTAATAAGCGCGCACATTGGAAATCTATAAAAGCTGCACTCGCTGAGAGCAAAAACCTACGTGACGGAATTTTTTTTAAGTTTAAGAAAATCCAAACAAGTTAAGATAAGGAAAGTGAAGATTCAAATAATAATAAACGTTAGAAAATGATGACGAATCATAAATAAAATAAAAATGATGACCAAAGCTAAACAACCTCTTTGCCTGAGCTAGCATCTCCAGTCTGTACTTCTCTGCCTCAGCGGGGCGACGGACCTGTCCCTCCAGCTCCTTCTCTCGCCGCAGTATCTCCTGTTCCTGCACAGCAATCTGCTGGCTCCTCTCCACCACCTTTATCTGCATCTTCTCATCCATGATCTTCTGTTGAGTCTTGGCAGCCTGTGTACACCCACGAATCCACCAGCGAACATTATTCTTTATGTATATCCACATCCTTGAATAACTAGGTAATTGGATTTTGTAAACATACGCAATTCTATTGCGACGGTTTCTAGTTTCGGGTGTAAATAATAAACAGATTCCTGAACCTGTTCCTGTATCGCCTATAATTTTTGTATATTTGTGGCTTGATTATATTTTTATTCACATGTTGTTTTCGGTACGGTGCCACATACTAATATCTTTCCAATATTTATGTAAATCGTTATAATCGTATACCGTTACATGATAAATCCGTATTACGATGTTTTCGCTCGAACCAATTACCATCGCTATACGATCCTAATGCACCCACTAACGCATTTACTAACGCCATAATACTCCTACCGAGTAGTACGTTACATCAATGATTTACTCTTAGCATGGGCCTACAAACTCCGAAATGATACACTAACTTAATACGCGCGTGTTTTATTCTACCTGGAGGTCATACGCAAGGTCAGCGTGTGCCTTCGCCATATTGATTTCCGTTTGATAGATGGCTTGATTCAGTTCAAACTCTCGCTTTGCACGAGCAATCTCGATATCGTTCTCATACTTAGATCGCATCGTCTGCTCTGTGGCGAGAGATTTCTGCAACAGGTCCACGAATTGTTGCAGAAATGAGAATAGCATTTAAAAGGTAATTAAACGAAATTTAAAAAAAAGTGAACTGGATTCATACATGGGGCAGAACATGACAGTGGTCACAATTGTATTTTTCTAAACACATATGTAGTCTATAGCAAGTTATACCACCACATTTGATTATGATATTTCAATACCTAATTAAGATTTTGATTTACGTGGAGTGATAGGAGGGATATTATATATATATATATATACTACATACTAAGCCAACTAGCAACAACAACATCAACATCATCAACAACAACAACAACAACAACAACAACAACAACAAAAACACATACAAAAAACAATAACAGCAGCTTAATGAACACAAACATTTGTGAAAATCATACAAAGTTTTAGCGGACGATGGGCTTGAGAGGGGAATCATACCCTAATCTCAGAGTCGCGCGTCGCCTCTGCCTCTCCTATCCTAGCATCTCTCGTCACCTCGGCTATGCGTGCCTGACCGAGTGAACTCAGGTATCCCTGCAAAGAGGAATGTTAAACGTTAATGTTACGTTAACGTTAAATCAAGTAACGTTAGTCGTGACCCTAACCTTTACTCTCAGCGTAACACACGCTTTTGTACGCAGAAACAAGAGCGTGCTCCTTCTAACATCCGTGAGTAAATAACTGAACGTTAGCCGTGACCCTAACCTTTACTCTCAGCGT